AGACCGGAAGTCAGGGCCAGGCAGGAGCCCAGGGTGGATACATCGGCTATGAGTAGTGCCTCTGCCCAGGCTTGGCTCTGACTCACCTCAGGCACAGGTACAAGCCAAGTGCCAAGGTACAAGGATCAGCAAACTCTGCCCCACTGGAGCTTGCTGTCTGCTGGAGACTAAGAGATAGGTACCTAGAATTCAGTATGCTGAGCACAGTCATGCGGTTTAGAAGTATTATGAACTCAGAGTGTTGTTCCTGGCTCAGCCCTGGGGTGAGGAAAGACTTCCTGGAGGAAGCAGTGTCTGAGACCTGAAGGATGAGTAGGACTTGGTCAGGTGAAAGGGGCGGGAAAGTGTACGAGGCAGAGGAACTGCCTGGTCAAAGACCTGGAAACAAAGCAGGAACAGCCCTGAATGATGGCTCCAGCATGGAATGTTGAGAGAAGTAGCAGGAGCCCAAGTCTGCAGGGACTTGTGGGCCAGATAGGAAGTTTAGACTTGGTCCTAAGATAGCCTCTTTGGTGCTCAGGGAACTGGCTGGCCTAGAGATTTGGGGCCTTGTTGGATGCCACATTTTGGTCTGTTTGGCCTTTGAGCTGTGACCTCCTCTTCCTAGTGCTGAGTTTGTAGGGCCAGGGGTGGCACAGGTAAGAGCAGGAGCTTGGGAGTGTTAGCCTCCTGGGGTCAGGGGGGTCCTTAGTTGTCTTTCAACCCCAGGTCAGAGTCGAGCCCCTGGGGCCACTGGGACCAAGCTGGGCACCCCTTTCCTATGTAACCTTGACTCAGAATAGTTTTGTCTCTCGGATGATAGTGCTGAATGCCCCAAGCTTGTGAGTGGCCCTAGTCCCCTCAATGGTCATGACTTGGCCCATTGCCCTGTGCTGAGGGCTCACAGGACTCTCCCAGCCAATGTTGGGCATGTAGCTGGGCTGCTGATGGCACATGGGGAGCAGTGTGTGTTCAGTTGCGTCCTTGGAGGGCATGGTGTCACCACCAGCATAGAACACCCAACAGCCTTTTCAGCACCTTCCCTCATGTGTCTGCAAAACACATGTGTGGGCTCAGCACTGTTTTCTTTTCTTAGTGCACATTGCTTTCATCTGTAGAGAGAAAGTGCTTCTCACCATAGATGCTTCTGAAAGCCCCATAGGTCCCCAGCCATTGAGATCAGATTCTTGCCATATCTTCTGCCCAGGGCTGTCTGTGGTGTGCAGCAGCGAGGCTCCTGGAGGAAGGGAAGGGTGAGTAGAGCCCAGATAGACAGTCAAACAGACTGACAGAGTGGGTGTAAGTGTCTGGGGCCCCATGATGTCTGTGGGTTTCCTTTTGCAGTGTTTCTGCATCCGTTGTTAGGCCCTGCAGCTGGTCCCAAGGGTGAGCTGCCTGCAGGAGTTCCTCATTACACCCTCTTCCCCGCAACCTCAGGGAGTTGGCCCATCGGTCGGCAGCCTTCAGAAAGGATGGCTTCCTTCCTCTTCCTCATTGTGAGGAAGGCCAGGTTGACTTCCACGTGAGGGACAGAGGAGGGGGGCTGGGGCAGAAAAACTGGGAGGAAGTGGTTCAGTCCTGGCCAGAGTTGCAGGCTGTGAGGTGGTATGAGAGCTGGAAGCCCCACCAACAGCCACCAGAATTGAGACAGGGGTGGGCTTGCAGGGGCCGGAGGGTCCAGGCTTGGAGAGCAAGGCTGAAGCAGCCAGTGCAGTCTCAGGCTTCCCTGTGGAACTCCCACACCGGCTGATGCCTCTGTGGGAAAGCTCCTTCCTCCCCTCCCTTCCTGTCGCACTGAGGGTCTCAGATGAACTGGAGCAGAACAGGAGAGGTTTACCTGTCAACAGTTCAGGTAAGGGTCAGGGGCTTCCCAGTGCCAGTAAGGAGGGATATCCGTGTGCAGAAAATCCTTGCTCAGAGACCATTGAGAGCGTGTTGTGGAAGGAAGGTGTGCAGAGAGGGCCCTGGTGTCTTAGTGGCATGTCTTAGGGATAAGGAATAAGAGCTTGGTCTTTGAGTCAGGCAGACCTAAGTTCAATTCCTGGCTCTGCAACATAATTACCATGTGACCACTGGCAGGTTACTTAGCCCCTCTGAGCCGTCTAGCTCACCTATAAAGTGGAGGTTAAAATAAAAATGCTTTATGCTTCAGTTTCATGCTGTCTTATAAAGCTGTTGTAGGAATTAAACATGTGCAAAGCATTGAGGACCTGCCTGGCACAGGTGCATCATCATCATCATCATCATCATTATTATTGTTATTATTGTTATTATTACTGGCTGCTGCTGCTGCTGCTGCTGCTGCTACTGCTACTCCTCCTCCTCCTCCTCCTCCTCCTCCTCCTCCTCCTCCTCCTCTGTGTCCTGCTGCCTTGGTGTGTCCCTTCCCCCCTCCCTCCAGGGTCCCCTGTTTTCTCCATCCCCTCAGATAACTGACCTTTCTTCTCTGAGGGTCCCAGATCTGGCTGTCTGTGCTCTTAGCACTGTTAGCCTTCCGATGGGGGTGAAAGGGAGGCCTCTCGAGAAGCTTCTGGAGCAATTCAGCCTCCTCAGAATTGACCCATTTGATTTCTTCGAAGCAGGTCCCTGGTGCAGCTTTGGAAGCCTACTGTGGTGTCCTGAGGAAAGGCCCTCCTTGATGTGCAGGGTGGCGGGTGGGAGGTAGACCAGCAGAGTCCAGCCTTTCTTGGCCTGACCAAACAGTGGCAGGTGAGCCAGTCTGGGACTGGGGCAGGAGTAGCCCCGCCTTGGATCCTCTTTCAGACTCCACCTCCATCTCTCCAACCCAATGTGGGGAACCGCTCTCTACTAGGGCTGAGCTGGCCATCCCTGTGCCTTGGTACCCTCCATTGGGCACACACTCACACATGCGCCAGGCCCATCTGCTACGTGGGCCTTCCCTTCCTCAAAGCCCCAAGCCCTGTGCAGTGGCTCACAAGGCGACAGCGCTGTGATGGGGGATGTCTGTGTACTGTTGGGGGGAGGGGAGGCTCCCAGCTTCCGAGGCACGTGGACCTGCCAACTCTCCCTCGGCCCCCTCCCCTCCCCTCGAGCCAGCACGTTCTTCCTTCCTCTGCAGACACACACGTACTTGTAGTTGGTTCATGCTGATTGGAGAGGCAGAGCCGGACTCCGGTAGCCAGGACAGCCCCACCCGGCAGCTTCACGATGGCGCCCAGGGTTGTTTTCAGTCTAGGTGCTGGCTTTGGGTTGGCTGTCAGAGAATGAGAGTTCAAAAGCAAGAGAAAGGGGTTTGTTCAGAAGGTGGTTTCTGTGGCCTCGGCACTCTCTGCTTGTCCAAGTCCTCCCCTTGGGCGGGTGCCTGGGTGACTCGGAAGCCCTCCTAGTCTCCCCCACCCCTAGCTTCCATAGGCGAGACAAAGTGGGTGCGAGCCGGGAGAGTCGCTCTCACTCACAGCAGGGCCGGGAGCTGAGGAAGGAAATGGAGGAGGAAGTTCCTCCCCTTCTGGGTGCTGGGTGAAAGTGAAAGGCGGCAGGGGGCCGGAGTGAGTCACGGCCGCTCCGGGAGGGGAAGGGCTGGGGAGCTGCGGAAGCCTGCGGAGGAGCGATAGCGCGGCGGCCTCTCTGGGGCCAGGGGCATCGCCGGGTATAGCCAGGGCTTCATACTAGAGCCTGCCCAGTATGCCCAGCCCCAGCCCTCCTCTGCTCTCGCCTGGTTTTCTGGAAAATCCCCAGGCTGCTAACGAAGACCGGAGCGTCTAGGTTCTGACGTCTGAAGTCAGCCTGGTCCTGCAAATTTATTTGCAGGGGCTTCCTGAGTCCTCTTCCCCTCCCTTCCCCTTCTAGACAGACTGGCTCAGGACCAGAATTTTAGCATGGGGAAGAGATGGGCCATGTAGCTCCCACATTTGCCAGCTTCCTAGAAGGGGAAAAACAAAAACAAAAAAACCTCTGAAGAAAGAAAAAGGCCTTTGAAAACACATGCAAGTTATACGTGTAAGTTATAACTTGCATGTAAGTAATAAAAACACATGTAAATTATAAAATACTGGTCTCAATCCTGTCTGTTCTGTAGCAGGATAAATAGAGCAAACTGTTTTTGTTAAGTCAGAAAACAAACACGGGAACATTATGAGCACTTTAGTCACGGCATGTCACGGAATAACCTTCTGGACCTAAGTTCTAGCAATCTGAACCCCCTCAATATCATAACTATACAGTTCCTTCGCTACAGATGCCAGGAGCTCTTTGGCAGTGGGAAAGGGTGGGTGGGGACTGCTGACCAGCTACCAGGCTGGATCCTGTCTCCAGGCAGCTGGGGGTTGCAAAACAGGTTCTGTGCTAGTTTGGGGAAGACTCTGGCAGCTACGGTTCCACCCAGCAGCTCCTCCCAGGGGTGGGGCTAGGACTGCACATATCTTTCATGTAGGGGCCTCACCTACATGCCTCAGTGCAAAAGACCCAAGCCTAGCCTTGGGCCCAGGACTCTGCAAGGGCCTGGTGGAGCTCCCAACCCTTGGGCTGCACAGTTGGGAGTGATTCCTATTTTCTCTACTGCCTGTTTGAGATGTGCGTGGAGTATCAGAGGAGGCATTGGCTGAATAAAACTACTTGGTCTGGTGGGAGGCTACAGCTTCAACGGATGTGAGAGGATCTGCCGAGCTGCCCAGTGGGCTGAGGAGGAGAAGGGAATCCAATATGGCCTTTGTCACCCAGGGGCTTAGGCTGGATCTCAGCCCCACTGGCCCCCTTGGCAGCTTCCTTGTGCAGTGTGCAGGTTACACAACTAAATGCAATAGATCTGGAGTCTAACTAGGAGGGCAAGGTGGTGGGACAAGAGGAGAGACCCAGGGCACCCTGGGAGGTGCTGGCTCTGATTACTTCTGGTGGCTCCCCCAAGGTCCTGGCGGCTGCCTCACCAATGCTGCCCTGTGACCTTAGGCTTGTTCCTGGGAGGCAGTGGAAACACAGGGCCTTTGAGGCCCCCCTTGCACTTGAGCTGACATCTGGGGCATCCTGGGAGACTGTAGCTGACACCGCTGCTGTTCTTCTGTCTGCAGGCTGCAGGGCCCCGTGGAGCATCATGAACTGGGAAGAGTAGAGGAGCCCAAGAGCCTCTCTTTGATGAGCAAGGAAGAGCCAGCTGTTCTTTCTCCCTGTGTCTGACCACACCATCCAGCATTTCCGCTGCCCCCACTGGCTACTGGACTAGGGCCAGACTTCCAGCACGACTGTCCCCCAGGGGATGGGCAACTGGTGAAGTAGGTCTCACTGTTGGGGCCCCGTTGGCCACACCATGAACCTCCAGGCCCAGCCCAAGGCTCAGAACAAGCGGAAGCGTTGCCTCTTTGGGGACCAGGAACCAGCTCCCAAGGAGCAGCCCCAACCCCTGCAAGCCCCACAGCAGCCCCAGGCCCCTCCACAGTCCACCAGAGTGAAGGAGGAGCCTTACTTTGGGCACGAGGGTCCGGCAGGGGCTACCCCTGCCTCCCAGCCAGTGGAACACCCCCCTCCCAACAGCCTGGCCCTGCTGAACTCTGTGGTGTATGGGTCTGAGCGAACCATGTTGTCCCAGCAGGTGGGCTCAGTCAAGTGGCCCAACTCTGTTATGGCTCCAGGGCGGGGCCCGGAGCGTGGAGGGGGTGGGGGGGTCAGTGACAGCGGCTGGCAGCAGCAGCCTGGCCAGCCTCCACCCCACTCAACGTGGAACCGCCACAGCTTGCCCCTCTACAGTGGACCCAAGGGGAGCCCTCATCCTGGCATGGGGGTCTCCACCTACTATAACCACCCTGAGGCACTGAAGAGGGAGAAAGGAGGGGGGCCACAGCTGGACCGCTATGGAAACGCAGTGCGGCCAGTGATGCCACAGAAGGTGCAGCTGGAGGTAGGGCGGCCCCAGGCACCCCTGAACTCTTTCCACGTGGCCAAGAAGGCCCCCAACCAGACGCTGCCCCTGCAGCCCTTCCAGCTGGCCTTCGGCCACCAGGTGAACCGGCAGGTCTTCCGGCAGGGCCCGCCACCCCCCAACCCTGTTGCTGCCTTCCCGCCGCAGAAGCAGCAGCAGCAGCAGCAGCAGCAGCAGCAGCAGCAGCAGGCAACCCTGCCCCAGATGCAGCTCTTTGAGAACTTCTACCCCATGCAGCAGCCACCCTCTCAGCAGCCCCAGGACTTTGGCCTGCAGCCGGCCGGGCCACTGGGGCAGCCCCACTTGGCTCACCACAGCATGGCACCCTACCCCTTCCCGCCCAACCCTGACCTGAACCCAGAACTGCGAAAGGCCCTCCTGCAGGAGTCGGCCCCGCAGCCTGTGCTACCTCAGGCCCAGATCCCCTTCCCCCGCCGCTCCCGCCGCCTCTCTAAGGAGGGTGTCCTGCCTTCCACCGCCCTGGCTGGGGCTGGCACCCAGCCTGGGCAGGATCCTGCCAGCAACCTGTTCCTGCATCACTGGCCCTCGCAGCAGCCACCACCTGGCCCCCTGGGGCAGCCTCATCCTGAAGCTCTGGGATTCCCGCTGGAGCTAAGGGAGTCGCAGTTGCTGTCTGACGGGGAGAGACTGGCACCCAACGGTCGCGAGCGGGAGGCTCCTGCCATGGGCAACGAGGAGGGCATGCAGGCAGTGGGCACGGGGGACTGTGGGCAGGTGCTACGGGGTGGGGTGATCCAGAGCACGAGACGGAGGCGCCGGGCGTCCCAGGAGGCCAACCTGCTGACCCTGGCTCAGAAGGCCGTGGAGCTGGCCTCACTGCAGAACACAAAGGTGAGAGTGGCGTGGGCTGGGGCAGACCTGGCACAGGGCAGGGGGAGCCGTGTCTAGGGCTTGGGGACAACAAGTGACTCCAGGTCCACGAGGGCGGTCTTCTTACTTCACTAAAGCAAATGCAAGAACCCATCCATTTCAGGGAGTTCTGAATCTCTGTGTAGGTGTATTCACACCTGAAGGGAAGATGGGGTTTAAACACATGCAGGGTTGTGGGCAGGAAAATGCAGTACCCTCCTGTGGGTTGGCTTCTTCATTTGGGATTTGGAGGATTGGGAGAAGGGGGAAGCGGAACCGTTTACAGATCCA